TACTAGTACTTCTACTACTACCACTACCACTACTACTACTACTACTACTACTACCGTCACACCGCTGCTACTAGTATCACTGCTACTGATGCTACTGCTAAGGCTACCACCACTACCACCACTACCACCACTACCACCACCACTACCACTACTACTACTACTACTACTACTACTACTGCTACTACTACTACTACCACCACTACTACCAACTACTACTGCTACAACTAGTACTTCTAGAGCTACTGCATACTGCCGCTACTTCTAATGTTGCGGCCGCGACGACGACGACGACTGCTACTACGATTATTGGTGTACTGCTGGGCGGTATCGTCTTTCTTCTATGTCAACATACTGCTTCCTCGCCGTAAGGTCTTGAACTTGCCCTTTTCAATTCTTGTGCGCTGCTTGCGGCTGCATTCTATTGAATCTACTATTGTAATCGTGTCAGACACATCCTGGTCTGTATTGTTTGGCCCCAGGAGCAAGACATCCGCAACAGTTCCGGCCTCGGTCGATGTCGTAAAGTTGCAACCAAAGGCGTTTGGCTGCGTTTCGGTAGTGTTAACTTGTTACGGGCTGAAACACAATCGGACCATCCGCAACGACCGATTGACCTCGTACCCCTTCAAGCTATGTATGACAAAACTGGGAACCGTGCTCGGTGTGGTTTGGGTTGTTCTTGGTTAGCCTTTCTGCCACGAGTGTCATGTTGCAAGTTTGGAGGGGATTGGCGGAATATACGCAACGTGAACCGTTTGACTGCGACTTGTCCCAACTTGTACCACTCAGCAGTATTTCATCAGCATCAGTACTCTTTACATGAATGCCACGCCTAGCCCGAGACCGCGCACCCTGGAAAAGCAATCCATACGAGCAAAGATCACTCGGGCAACTAGGTTCGGAAGCCTGAGCAGTCGAGAAGCCTGTTTGCCGTTGCAGCAGCGACACCGGATGAAATACTAGAGATCGAACAAACCTCAGAGCCCTCAGCACAAGCTCTTTGCTCTCGTTTAGAGTGGGGTTCTTGGATGGTGCAGCTGAAAGCCACATTCCGGCTCCGGCAATCACATCTGCTATTTGACATTCTCGAAAACTCGAATGTCCAGCGCTCTTCGAGTTATAATGCACTAGCAAATGCTGAGCCAGGCCGTGGCGATTGGAGGAGGTCGTCCGGTGGCTCAGAGCCAGGGGACAAACAAATCCCTGTTCATGTGACATCGACACTTATCATGATGACAGTGATGAGCACGATTGTTGCAATGATAGTGACTGATAGTGTGAATGAAGATGACAGTGGAGTCAATGACCGTCAACTGCAAGATCACTATAACACCAATGCTTGTCGTCCGAGAAAGTGGACTAGTACACGCACTAGAACTAGTGCCACTCTTCGCAGCATTTCTTCAGTGCTACGACTACAAGTGGTGATTCAGCAATTCGCATCTGGCCAACTTGCTTGACTGGATTGGGAGGGTGGACACCCATGGTTCAGGACCGTTAAGAAGACCTTTCCTCGAACAAGCTCTCTGTGTAGCTTCAGAACCGGAAAACAGGCACGCCCCATTCAGTGGACCGAAGGTAAGAGTTTCATAGCCGTGTCTTAGGTCGATGAAGGGTAGCTATTGAGTCTGGAGCCTCGAGTCTTTCTTAGCCCTGGGCGAAGGCACAGCCATCCGCCTGCACACGGACCCAGACCCGAGGCACATGGCATCAAAAGGTGTCGATTTCCTTGCCGGACCTTGCAAAAATCGTTGCAATTTTGCATTTCAGAGGTTTTGGCTATTCGGGTTTTGGGGCGCAGGCTTCGAGCTGTCAGGCTCGGCATGGGCTCCTGCGGACCAGTGGAACTTTCACCGGGATTGGGACGTAGGGTTTCAGGGCGATAGTCTATTGTACATTATGACACATACTACAGTATACTATTGGGAGGTTTCTGTCGCTGTATGTGTTCAGGGTTTAGATTTGTGGTGACGCAGGCGTTGCTCCCGCAGGTTAGCGTCTCTCTTTTCTTTCGTTCAGGAAGCCTACAACATCGTAGAACCTATAACCCACCCACCCACCCGTACCCTGACCCGTAGTACACCGACCGCGGCTGATGAACCTCGCCTGGATTGTCCGAGTTGTGCAAGTGTAAACCGAGTATCTGAAACCCCTGGGATCCTACAACCCCCCTTCACAGAAGAGCAATTCCGATCGAGGCCTCTTCGGGAAGTTGGCAGGTGCCGCAGCAGCCGGCGCCGATGAGCTCAGATGATGGGCGGGGGTTAGGGTATAGGGTTTTGGAGAGAAACTTGTAACTAGGGCCGGGAATCGATAATTTTGGTCCATGCAAGGATCCATTGTTTTCTGGAACTCTTCGATGGGATGCAAAGAGCTTCCCTTGAGTTAGAAGCGTGAAGATTTCGCAGATGCCCTAGACGGGGCGGGCTGTGATCTTTCTCAGGGCTTGGGATCGTGGATGTACATACATCAAGATGGACAGTTCAATGTTGTGCTTTGTTCGGTTCATGGTTGGATCTTCAGTTTGGAGTTTTATGCTTGGGCGGCGAGGCAGGATGTCCAAGCTAGTGTCCCTGGTGCCCATGTGGTCAGAAATATAAGTAGTCAAAGAGTTGCTTCCAGCGCCTTGCTCTAAGTTTAATCCTTTATGATAGCCACATTAATTAAAGTAGATGTTGTAAAACTCCTGTGCCCGGAGCAGGCTCGTTCAAAGTGCCTCGGCCCTTCTTATTGTTCCAGTACAGATCCGAAACTCTAAGAGGCAACAAGGCTCCGAAGACCCTGCAAGAACAAACGGCAGAAGGAGCAAGGTGGTGGCAGAGGTGGCAGTAGTTGTGTCACCGTGGTTGCTGTTGCAACAGTAGCAGCAATTCAATGCGGTGCTAACAGCTCCTACTTCGGGATCACAGCGACGCTACCCCTTTGTTATGCTACGCTATTCCTGATGGCTAAGCAACTAAATAAAGCAACCGCTCAGTCCGGAAACGAGAATCGAGAGCGATGATGGTTGTAATAGTATTAGTCATTTGCCACCGTCCATGACGTGGCATCGTGGACATGACTTTTTTGCCAGCATTTCGCAATTGCTGCCGTCCAACACAAGCACAGGCTGGACCTGTAGCCCGAAGCTTTGAAGCTTAGAAGCCCGAACCCCAGGAAAACCTGGAATCTGAATTTTGAATCCGCCCAATGCCGAATTCGTCTACAAGCCCGACAGACACTACAAACTTCAGCTGCTAACGCAAGTGCCGAGACCTTCATTCAATCTAGGCCTGGCAACTGGTACCAGAGGCAGGAGCAGGACATTGTGGGTTTAACACCCGCGGGTGTAGGGTTGCTATCGAGAGGTTTTCAGAGCGTTTAGCTTTGCAGCCCCAATGATTGGCAAGAACTTCTTGTAATCTGCGCAGAAGTTAATTCATGAAGACTGCGGGCGAGAGAGGATGGTCGAGGCAGGAGAGTCTGCAGCATCACTGTCAGAGATGTGGTTTGAGGTAGATCTTGTCTGTCCAGGCCACTGACGTCCCCAGATCATGACCAGAAGAAGGGGTCACTGGCAAAGACACAGATTGAGTTGTCAGGGGCATCATTGAGGCACTTGGGTGTTGCGCAGGTTCGACGTGGCAAGTTGATTGAGCAGGTAGACAGAGCTGAGCGTTTAAGAAGGCGCCTTTTCTGCGGCAGAGCGACGAGGGAAAACCCTCCTGAAGCCCCTTTGTTTGTCAAGAGGCTGCTGCACAAGAGTTACTTAACTAGCTCAGCAATTCTTTTCTGTAAGTAGCGTGCGAGGAGCGACAGCGGCGTCAACGAGAGAAGGAGGATCAGCAAAGCCCTCGGAGAAAATGTGAGATTTAAAAATTCAACCGCTGGAAAGCTCGAAACCGGAAGCCTAGCCAGAAAAGGACCCAGTATGGGCGCTTTAGAAAACTAGGGCCAAAGAAGCGATCCTTACAGCACTACAGTCAGAAACCTACGATGTATAGGGGTTTGTATAAGGCTATAGTTTATTTCTGGCATTGACATATCAAATGTGAGCGGCGAAACCCTAACCCTAAAGACTCTTCCGTGGAGGGTTTGGGAGCTGCCCCCGGCCTGTCATGCCATGTTACGACGGAGGGCGTTTTTGCAGAGGAAGGTGTTGTGTGGGGAAGGTGGGGCTGATTCTGTCTATGATTCTATGATTCTATGGCCTAGGGCAAAACAAGCGGAGCCCATTGCGGCGTCGGCTTCAGGTAGAACGATTATAATGTTTCAGGGTTTGGGGTTCGGGATCCCGGCTTGTGTCGGTTCAAGGATTGAAGCGCGGAGAGGAAACTCAACGCTCAACACGAAGCTTATCTGAGATGTAGGAGGCTTGCACATCCCGTCGCTTGAACCCTGTTCCGTGCCTTTCGGAAAACCCGCTCCGGACCACGGGCCAAGCCTAAAGATGTCGCGTTCCTCGGTTTCTCTCTGGTCGAAAACACTGAGCAAAAGACAGCTAAAGCTTAGTAGTTCGGCTTGTTGTTCAGAAAGACTGGTGCTTTGGAGGTGATACCGCCGTGCTTTATATAAGGTTTCAATCCTGCTCTATAGAGTTTTGCTTTAGGGCCTTTGGGGTTTGTAGCGGTTTTGATTTGGGATACGCTGGACCTCAGCAGATTCTCGCATGGTCTCCAGTTCCATGGTGTCGTTCCGGGTAGGGTTATGCTTGAGGACCTGAGAGTAGCAATACCCCGTTATCACGGGGCGTCACAACTACGGTTGAGGCTAGCTTGCTAGCTACGCTATCCTAAACTCCAGGCAGCCAGACTAGCTTTCCAAACGAAGTCGCATCGTAACGCACCAGATGCCTGGTCCCAACCCGCATGACTGCGGACACTCATCCAAACCTGCCGCAGCGGCACCAACTACCCTCAACCCTAAGTCGCTTGCCAGTCAGAAGTCTCAGCGACAACAGACAAGGGCGGATCAGGCGCGACAGCATTCCCGACGATCCGATGGGATTTGGCGAGGCTGACAAAGTAAAGTGTACTTGTAAGCTGAGGGGCCGTACAACCAAGCCAGTGCATTTTACTATAGAAGGAATAACAGGACAGTCTGTCAGAACTCCCTGGCAGTGTCTCCTCTTCAACGCTGACCCTACTTTCCCCTACTAAAAGCCTGTTCTTCTTAGGTTATGTTAACATGTATGTATGTGTACATGCACAACATGTCGCTATGCTACAGTGTTGGAAGGGGCTTTGGGTTTCTTGCAGAGTGTGCTCGGCATGTTCAGTGCTTGTTGAAGTTGTGCGTTGTGGTGGATTCTGAACTCTATTTGCCTTCTCTTGCCACCTGCAGCTTTGTTGCTGTATCGGAATTCTCGCAGAGCAACAAGTCCAAGTTTCTGGTTTGGTTACTGTTGCTTTGGACCTGCCGAAGCGCCCGTCGACAATCTCAAGGTAAAGTCTTGAGCCCGCAAGCCCAAACTCCAAGCTTCAGGGCCCTGTAGCCGAAACAGCTGACAGGTTTCATTTTCATTGGCTTCTTAAGTAACGAGCGAGCGAGCGAGCGAGCGAGCGAGCGAGAGAGAGAGAGAGAGAGAGAGAGAGAGAGCGAGAGCGGGCGAGCGAGCGAGAGAGACTGCTGTGTGTGCCTGCCTGTCAGTGAGCTACCTTCAGGACGCCTGGCAGCACGAGTGGATCAAGAACAAGCGAGAGCAGGATTGCGATGGCTGCGCACGTTGCCTGTCTCTAGTGCTGATGGGGTTGTACACACTACAAGAAGCCTCCCTGTACCTGTACTCTCGTAGAGGATGTGCGCGCTGTTGGTGACACTCTTGTGCTTAACCCACCCGGAATGTGCTCTGCTTAGAAACAAACATGTGCTTCGGGTATCAAACGTTGACACTCAGCGTTGCAGCTGAAGCTTCGCTGCGACAAGCCTTTGTTGACTTGAGTGGCGCTGAACAACACATGTGCAAATAACAAGTAGTTGAAAACGTGATCTCAACCCTCCATGGCCTCAGTCTTCAAAGCCACAAGCGCTTAAACCTCCATACCCAAAAACTACGCCCCGAACAAGAGCTGATTGCAAATCTTAAACCTGAGCCCCTCGTCTGGCGGAGTCCGAGTTGCGAGAGCGTAAACCTGAGCCCCGAATACAACCCTCCGCAGTGCCCCGAAGCGCGAAGGACCGGCTCGAAAAGGAGCTGAAGCACCAGGAGGAGGAGCAGCAAAAGCGCCAGCGCAAGGTCCGCCAGCGTTAAGGTCTCTTGGGGGCGTGGGGTGGGGTTTGGAGTTTCGAGTTGTGCTTTGTCTCTGTGCTCGTGTATGAAAACAGCCGTTAGAAGCCACTTTATCAGTATCAGCATCATTAGCAGTTACTTTCACTTTATTTTTTGCTGGTTTCAATATCGCCAGCATACCTAGATGTCGGTTTTGTTTACGATTTGTGCCGTGGGCCGTTGGATTCACGAGCAAAGTGTGTTGCAAGCATGTAAGCACAGTTGCCGTGAACTTGGCCCGCCCCGAAGTGCGATCGACTTTCTGGAGATGCCATCGGTCGTATGCGGCCCAGAGCCCGAGATTTAGATCTCCAGACACATCGAGACCGTAAACGTCTGAAACCCTAAACTCCAACAACTCCAAAACCGGAAACCCTGTATAAGTCCAAGGGCCTTGACTTCTGCACCTTCATCGGAGAAAAACGATTGCCGCTTTCGTGACAAGACCCCCATCAATATGAGGTCTAAACAACTGTACCCAGTGACATTACTGTCATGGGGCCTTGGTTTTTGCACACCACTCTAACTATACTGGTGCCAATACATGTACCCCAAAACACTACTATGGCGATTAGCACGCCTATATTACAGCCTGAAGCCCTGACTGGCGTTTGGATTCGGAGCCCGAGGAGGCGCAGCGGCGTCAGCAAGAGGAAGAGGCACACCTTCACATGGCTACTGCCTGGTTTGAGATAAGTTGCTGCACTTGGTGCTCTATTGCGTTCCTACAGTATGGTGGCGTTCTCAGCCAGAAAGCCTCAACTTTACTTCCACCCTGATAGAGGCAGAAGCAGGCTTGAGTAAGTCACAGTCAAGCTCCGCGCAGCCGGATTTTCTATGCCCGTAACCGGGTTCGAACTGATTTTGCGTGGGGTGTGCCAGAGTTGAGTAGTCTATCGACTGCTACCGAGCCCACCTCGAAAACGTGCTGTGTCTGAGCAGATGAAATGCAATACATCGCACATTCCTCACGACGGGCACTCAAACACAAGCATTGGGTTCTGTGCATGCGGCGTACCTGAGTAGGAGCGGCAGCGGAAGTGGCATGAGCAGGAGGAGCAGTGGAAGAAGCAGGCCCTGCTCTCGGAAAGAGCTTAGTTGGGGTTCGGCAACGAGTTCTTTCGGATCAGAAGAGTCAGAGGGGAGTCAACCTTTCAGCAGAGCGCATGCCGTCTAAGCCCCGTCGTCGGGCTTCTCCCTACGAGGCTTTTCGTGCAATGCCAACGATGGGTACAGAGATTAGATAGCGTGTAGAGAATGCAAAGTTTCAAGGGATTGCTTTGGCTGAGGAGATTCCGGGCTTAATGCATTGCAGTCTTTGCCCCTTCCAAAGGAGAAATTTGGGGCCCCAATTCCAGCACTGAGCGCGAAATGGGCACACAACCGGCTGTGCAACTTTCATGACTCAAAGCTATGGCCGGGCAATGCGTGAAGCAACATCACGGACTATAAAGATGCAGCAACAACACGGGGTGTGTATGGATATCACGTGAGGCCCCCTCCAGACCAGTAACGGCGCACAACGGATGGAAACGCGGCATTTCCTCGTGCAGACTTGTGGCTCCCGGGACACTCTGCTGGAGCTTCGGAACATAAGGTACCCTTGCAGAGGATCCTTACCATCAGGGAGAAAGCTGCATCAGATTGCATCATTGTGCATACGCGCAGCCTTACGGAAACTGAGGGATTCGAGCTTGGTTTCGGAGAGTCCAGACCCTATATGCCCAGGACCCGCACATGTTTACTCACCTAAGCCTATTCCCAGCACACAAAACACTGAGGGACTTCGGAGCCGAAGGCGAAGTTTGCAAAGGGGTTTGGAGTCTTGGTCTTCCATCCCAACTGTCCATCATTTAGTATGTCCTGGCATTAGGCCCGTACCTTCAGAGCCCTCGAACCAACACGACGGGCAAACGCAAGAGAACGTCCGAGTCCAAGACCTGTGAGATCCTCTGAGTCTCGCTTTGAAACTCAGGCGGAGGAGCTGAGAAGAGAGAAGGAGAAGCAGGCGCTCCGCGCGGCTTGATGCGTCCAGGTTGCGCGCAAGGAACTGTCGACAACTAGCTAGCAACCTTTTCTATGAGGATTTGGGGCCAACTTCGAGCATATTCACGGGTTGTTAGAATTAGTATATGATCTACCCAGCCATGCCTTATATCCTCAGCCAGTCCGCCAAGCCGCTGCCAAGCTTCACGACTTGAAACCCTATGCTTCTCCAAATGCTTGGGCCCCTTTGCCGGGATGGGGGGGGGGGGGGGGGGGGTGGCTCTCTGCATTTCGCAAGGTTTCTACATTTACGGAGACTGAGGTTTAGGATGCCTACGTATGCAGTTCTCTTGCCGTCGCCGATAAGAAGCACGGGAGCCATCCAGTGCATCTGCCATACCTGCCATAGCCGCAGTAGGCGCAAGTACTGGCAAACGCCACAACGACACGCGCAACAATGATGCACTTCACCGATGGGGCAAAGAATTGCACAGAGAGTCTCGGGGCTGGCCATTGCGAATTCAATGCCTTGCCCCCGACCCAAGCAACCTGGTCTACTTTCCTGGGATCAAGGTGCCTCCGAGTGAAAACAGTTGCTGAACTGATGTTCTGTGTGCTTGCATGTGTTTACATCGCCGTAGCAGTTGCTGTTGTCGGCTTGAGTGTGGCTGCGGAAGCTGTTGAAGCTCCGTGTAGAAAACCCTCATGGAGATCGCTAGCGGCCAGCCTCAGTCTGCTTTGTTTCGGGTTGTGCTGGTATCTCTGCTCTCAGCAAAGGAACAGTGGGGCCCAACACCAAAACCTTGAAGCGATAGAATCCAGGCCAAAAGCCCCGAAACCCGGGTTGTTGGAATCCTGTGCGTGGGGGGCAGCAGGAGGAGCAGGAATATCTGCGACAGAAGCTCCAGGAGGAGCAGAGGCGTTTCTTGGCATCTTACGCAGGTTCTGCCTAGTTCGGGATCAAAGCATCGGGTGTTGAATTCGGGAATCCCCCAAAGCAGTAGACCTGATTTCTGGAGATCAGGTAGAAACTGTGACTAAAGGGAGATGTGCTCTCTGGGCACACTGCGCGGATGAGCTGACAGCCGAGGCTGTAGAGAACAAGAGCAGCAGCGGCAGAAAGCAGAGAAGCAGCGCCAACACGAGCAGCAGAGGCAGCAGCAGCAGCAGCAGCAGCGTGGGCGCGAGCAGCAGCGAAGGGACCAGAAGCAGGAGAAGGCCACCAGAACACTCAGGGTATGTCAGAGCGCAGAGTGAGGTGAGAAGGGATGTGCTTGTCTTGATGTTCCTTGGAGTCATCATCATCGTGCTGGAGGCTTCTCGGTTTCAGGTCAGGTGATGAGTTAGATGCAAGCAGCCTTGTGCAGATTGACGGCCTCGTTGATGCTTCTTGCTTCCCTTGCAGAGCTATCCGTGAGCGTCCGGATTGGGTCTCAGTTCGTAGGAACTCCCGGATGATGCGATCCCGATGGTAAGCATGCCTAACTACAAGGCGCTGTTTTGCGACAAGAACCCCAGTTGATGTCCCTTGAACCCGAGATCTTGGCTAGTGTCTTTGCTTGTGCAGGCTGATGGAGAGAGGAGCCGCGGAGGCTTCTTTGGTAGGCCCGGTTCTGACTTTGAGCCTGGCTTGGCGTCTTGATTGTCATATATGCCCGAGATCCTCTTGTTTCATGATTCAGGCCCCTGTAATGCTCGTTAACCTGGCCATCTCGCTGCGATCCATCATCCCAATGAATCCCACAGTCAGCTGGGCGGGTGGGAAAAATGAATCCCAGAAGTACTCCTCGTGCCTGGGGAGGTGGCGTGCGAAGTCGGAGCCGGCCAAGGACGGTTTTCCAGGTCCTAGGGTTACCCTAAGACTCCAAAAAGCCCAAAGTAGGTACCACTTATATAGACTTTAGACCGCAAAGTAGCCACCATTAGCCACAATTTGTATACTTGGAAACTTGGGGTTATAGTGCGTCGGAATTATAGCACCTGCAAGATGTCAGGAGGTTTGGGATAGACGGGCTGAAGGCATGCAAGTTGCAGGTTTTGGATGGATCGGCTGTTTTACTAGCAAAACTTGTCATGAAGCTTGATGTCAACTTACCAGTACAAGTACTCTTTCAATAGCGGGGTTTGCACCGTGCTAGTTTTGGAGCTGAATCGGGCTGACTACTGAACAGAAGCTGCTCCTCTTTCTTGACCAGGTACTGGTAGCAAAGAGGTGGCAGACAAAAGTTCATACCAGCTTAAAGCCAGTATGCTTCATGAAAAATCGAAACTAGATCGCTCCAAACCTCAAAAGGCACACCCCGAATTCCCAAAGCCCAAAACTTAAGTAGGCCTTGCCGTTGTAAGGAGCAGTCGAAGAAGAAAGGAGGACCTCAGGCTTCCGCTCCCAAGGCGCATGGGCTGCGCTGGAAATCTCGTATGTTTAGTCAAAGTTTAGTATGTTGTGTTCTGCATGAGGACCAGTCTTCATTGCCATTTGCACATGCTGTTGCCGCAGTGTCCAGATTGTCCAGTGCGTTGTTTGATTCTTTTTGTTGTACTGCAGCTGCTACTGTGCGACTTTATCCTGGCTTTGTGTCTTCTTCCACGACACAACAAGGATGGTTGCGGCATTACAACAGAAAACTATGCCACGACAGGCAAATTACGACTATTCCCATACCATTGATGCTTCGACGACAACGACTGAAAAGACCACGATGACTTTTGACAGTGAATTGTCCTGCTACTCCTACTCCTACTACTACTACTACTACTACTACTACTACTACGACTACTACTACGACTACTACTACTACTACTACTACTACTACTACTACTACCACTGCTACTACTGTGCTCCCGCTAGTGCTA